GTTGTGCTTGAACTAGCTTTAAGAATAATTAATTAGTAGTGAAGCTACAGCAAAGCTGTCCCTGTATCACTACAGAAAGAAACAATCCATAACCAAACAGAACCTAGCTCAGTAAACAAGCCAACTACACAACAATGTGGGCTTTCTAACCGTTTTGTTAATAAAGGGTAATAAAGGTTGAATGAATATACTTCATTAGAATCAGACTTATTAAAGATCAATCTTTCATTGTTCAGTTTAAACTTTCCAAGTTTTTGTCACTGAATATTGCACCCAATAAATGTTGTTTTGGAAATTCTAACCATTTACTTTTACTTAATACTCTTCCTTAAAGTACATTTTAGAAGAGAAATTTACTTTTGATACTTAAGTACATTAAATGTTAGATACTTTAAGACTTTTACTTAAGTAATAATTTTAAAGGAGACTAACTTTTACCAAAATATTGTTATGGTAAGATACTTGTACTTTCACTGAAGTATCACTTTGAGGTACTTTATACAGCACTGTCAGTGTCTGTACATTTCAGAGTTATACTGTTGTGTTTCCAGGATAAGTTGGCTGTGGTGGCCATTTTGAATTTGATTGACTCCAAAAGTTGATCAATTCTAAATGTACATTTAATCTTGTTTTTGGAGTTTCAAAAAATATCAGAGATATTTTGTCAACAGACAGACAGAGTAGACTCTTATGGATAGTGACAGTTTTAAGAACAGATCTTGTATGTTTTGCTCTCAGAGTATCAGGGGATGACTCTTAGCTACTACCACTGCTAATTTGATCTTAATATATCAGAAACTTTTTCATTCTACCTTTATTTAGACAGGTTAATCCCATTGAAACTGACTGAGTTATAGCCATTTTTGTGTTTGCTTAGTTAGTTTGGCTGTGGCAGCCATCTTGGATTGGATTGATTTAAAAGGTTAATCAGTTGAACATGAACATTCAGTCATAGCTTTCAGTTTCATAAAGTGGTTCATTAGATATTTTGCTAACAAACAAACAGACAATATCGCTCTTCTGCCTTCAGCAGCGGGTGATAACACTTTGCACCAACTGAAGAACACCAAATAAAACATGAGAAAGTTCAAAATGCACTGTGGTCCCATGATTCAACATAATCTAAGAGCAGGTCATCTCTTATGACCCGTGCCCGTGCCCAAATAATGTGCTGGATGGGCAGGCGGAGTCAGGTTTTTGATTACGTCAGCGGACGCGCACGGTTGACGATCCAATTTGGATCACCACCAGTCACTCATGGCCGTTTGATCGCGCGCTCACTGGCCGGTTGAAAGAAGTAAAAAAAAGTCCAGCTAGATCACTGCCAGCGACCCACCTGAAGCTTACCAGCTGCCATGTCAGCGGATGCGCACGGCCGAGCCTAGCTGGTTGAAAGTGGTCCAGGTGACTGCCAGCGACCCACCTGCGGCTTAACTGGACTCAGCCACTGCGTCAGCATACACGCGCGGCCGACGACCGTTAATAACTATAATATTATAATTAGGGATGGGGCCGATCCGATCCAGTATCCGTATCGGCCTCTGATACCAGCATAATTTACGTATTGGATTTTTCCGATCCAACCTGCCGATATTTCCGATCCATGATGCATGTTGGCTTCAAACTATGAAATGGATTTCCTGAGACGTGTCTCATGAGCCCAGAGTAATAAGACCCACCTCACGTTCAGGAAATCCAGTTCATAGTTTGCAGCCAGCTACAACGTGAGGGCTGAGTTGGCAGCACTGTGGCTAACAGCTAACAAACTTTTCATCTAAACATGTCCGCTGTGTGGAAGTGTTTTACACTAAACACCACAAAACAAGACAGCAACGTGCAATGTCTGCAGAGCCATAGCGCCACATTAAACCGCGGTAAAGTTAGTTTTACATTGGATATTACTCTTTGCTCAACCCAAAACAACAAACTCGACCCCGGCCAGCCGCGTCCAATCTGCCCCGCTCAGTCTGCCTGTCTCTGAGGAGGGACAGACTCAGTGCGGCTGACCGAGATCAGACTGCTTGCTTCAGACTGAACAAGAAGAAGACATCGCTGAAGCCCTGGAGCTCGAAGAAGTTGCTAAACTTCATCGTAATTAATGACCAACCACTATCATTTGTAGAAAATGAAGGATTTCTCAGCTTGATACTTGCAGCTAAGATATAGTTTACCCTCCAGGAGATATTTATCAGTACAACAGTAGACAATCATAAAAAAAACATATGATTTGAAAATTATATATATTAAAAAAAACAACAAAAAAAACAGCTACATTATAAAGTGATGTAAAATACTAAAAACAGGAACATCTGTTGGTTTATGCCATGAACTTAGCAGATGTTTAAATGCCATTTAGCATTTTATTTTATTTAATTCATTTATTCATTCATTTAAAAGAAACAAAATAAAAAAAAAATCATCAAAAAGAAAACATTGAATGAAAAGAGTGCAGAAAGAAGAAAGAAATGCTTATGCCTGCTCCTTATTTAAAAAAAAAATAAAGTAACTTTAAACAATCACTTAAATTAATCACTTTAATATCCACTTTAAAGCTAGGAATAAAAAAAAACTGTTTTGTGTTAGCAGAATTTAATTCTAACTTTAAAACTTATCCAACATTAATTAAACTTACCTCAAGTTGTCTTTTTGGACATGCATGCATATATTTGTACAAATTGTACTTGAGAGGAGATTATTACAGCCTCATATAAAATCAATGATGATCATGATATCTGAACTGGATCGGTATCGGACGATATTTAGATTTAGGTATCGGGATCGGATCGGAAGTAAAAAAAAAAAAAAGTGCGGTGCATCTTTAATTATAATAACTATAATATTATAATAAGTATAATAACTATAATATTATAATAACTATAAATTATAATAACTATAATATAATAACAATCCACTGACTCTTGTTAATAACCAAGACATCTTATATCTTCCTACCTTTGAAATACATTTTTAAATCAAGTCAAACTGATTTGCTTACAAAAGCAACAAAAGCAACAAAAGCTTAATAAAAAAAAAAAGAAGTTTTTTCTTCGTGTTCGGGTCTGTAATCACAGTAAATTGGTCGGTTTCTGGTCGGGATCGGAAAAACTGATATGGGTTTGGTCCAGGGCCGGGTCAGATTTTTTAGGCCCTAATGCAACTCTAATGTGGGAAAAGAAAAGGCCAGATGTTCTTCCACACAGTCTTTTATTTGTAAATAATAAAAATGAACTCTTGAATATAAAACATACACATCAGTAGAGCCACATCTGTTATACAAACAAGAACTGTTGCAGTGAATACTTCGCCTTTCGTTTGGGAACCATGGGCTGTAAACAATCAGTATTCCTGAAATAATACTGACAAAGGAAAGGGCAGTCGGCCACACCGCCAACGATGAACAAAAACATCTGCAAAATATGTCTGTAAAACTAGATTTCTTGTTTTTTGGCTTCAGAAGTCCAGTCCAAACCATAGTCACAAACAGGGAAATGGATGATTCAAGGACGAGGAAGATCCAATTGGTTTTGCCTTCGTTTTCCTGTAACTGGGCCCAAAATAAAGGCCTACTAGCGCCCCCGTGTGGCTTGGTACCGCTCAGCGGCTCCAGCACCAGAAGCATTCGACAAGGCCGGGAATGTTTGTGTGTCAGCCATGTTTGATTTGTTCAGAACTTTAGTTCACGCCGCTCATCTTGATTTGTATGTACAAGGTGTGTGTGTTGGTGAAGTGTACAGTCAGATACTCTTTATATTCATATAACTATAATCTTCTGTAAACTCATAATGATACGTCATTTACATGTAGCTGTTATAAACACATTCTATATCTCTGTCTCTAGCCCTGACTGTCTCAAACTACAGTAACGTGCTGAGGAACACGGAGGGCTCAGCTCTACAGAACACCACGGTTCCTCAGAGGCTTGGAAGAAAACTAAAACTCAAAGACAGGTTTTTTTATTTTTTGGAGACCTTCTAAAAGAGATATTTAGACCCAGAGTGGTAGGTGTGGCCCAGGTGCAGCTGACCCCCCAGCTGTTGGTCCGCTCCTGTTTTGGGGTGGGGTGGGGAGGCTTTTTCTCTGGATTCATATTCAGTACAAGCAAACCGTACAAGAACATGCAACATACAAGCTGGCCTAAAATGTGTGGAACTAACACACGTAGTCTAGTCTTTTTTTCTGCTTTTGCTTTTTGAGAATTGCTTGTTAATTTGTCTCATTTTTCAACTTTACAAAAAAAAAAAAACGGTAGAGAAAGGAACCAAACCCAAAACGTTTGAAACCAAGGAAACATGCATGCAGCTTGGGGCCGGGGGCCGGACGGGGCATCCCGAGTCATGCTGCTCCCTCCAACATGGAGGGGGGGTTACTGACAGGTCAAAAGGAAGGGGTTGGATGAAGGAGTTACGTCTGGCCTTTTGGCACAACGTTGCTTGAAAACCAAACACACACATACAGAGGGAGTGTGCACCTTGTGGTACCAATCTGAACTGTGAGAGAAACACAAACAGGAAGTATGACCCAAAATCTGATGAAACTGTGGCCTCTGTTGTTTAGACACAGAGCTCTTTCTGAACGGGGCGGAGCTTTTCTTGTGCTTCCTTTCATTATAAAGGACAAGGCTAAGACTGTGCACATCTTCTCCTTAACTACTACTGATCTGGGTCAAACCACTGCCTCTAGTTCTCATCTACCACACGATGGAAACATCCAGAGGACCTCTGCTAAACAGCTGCTTGAAACGCTAACACTTTTCTTCTTCCTGTGGTGGAGGAAAAGCTTGACTGTGATTGGTTGGAAGTGGGTGGACTCTGCTCTGATAGGGGCTGCACTGGACGTTAGAGAGAAATTAAAGAATGGATGTAAAACAGTGAAGCATGTTAGACAGAGTCCTCCTGAGCTGCAGCTCAGAGACGAAAACAAAGAAAGCACCAGTTTGAAAACAAAACGGTGTGACGAGGAGAACGATGGAAGGTGTGAGACGTGATTGTCAAACTCCAGCTAAGCTCTGATTGGCTACTTCTATCTCTCCCTCTCTCGGCCACTCCCTGTCTCTCCGTCTGGTTTTTCATTGGTTGTTCGAGGGCTTCTTGTTGTCGTCTTCGGGACATGTTTGCACCCTCTGCTCAGTTGTGGTCCAGCGGCTGTGGTTCATTTCCTGATCATTTCAGGTGAACTGGGGTAGGCGGTCGCCCTTTGGTCACTAGGACCGAGTGCCAGGCGGCGGTCCTGAGCTGTCCAGTGACGTCTGAGACGCCAGACGTGTGAGTGGAGCTAATGTGGGGTCCACCAGTGAGGATGGTGGGAACAGTTTGTACCAGCCGATCACCGTGCTTGAGAGGTCCAGCTCTTCCAACAAGATCTGTGCTACACCCATGAAGCATTTGTGGTCCAGTCGTCCATAGTCACCCCAAACGATCACCTAGAAGAGAACAGCAGGTGAGTGTTAGGCTGGGAACAAATATAAACATGTGATCATGTGATGCAAACAGGAAGTGTTCACACAGTTCTCCAAACCGTCTGACTCAGAAATGCTTTTTCTGCTTTTCCATCCTGCAGGCGGACAAGTCTTGTCTACTTGTCCGTCAAAGCTATTTCTATGATTATTAAATGCTTTAAAAATCCAGCCTGCCATTTTCTATAGCTCATAGGGAGCTGGTGCTACTCCAGTTTCCTCCCACAGACCAAAAACATGCATGTTAGACTGATTGGTAACTCTCTAGGTGTGAGTGAGAGAGTGAATGGTTGTCTCGTTTGTCTCTTTGTGTCCCTGTGATGGACTGGAGACCTGACCAGGTGTCCCCCACCCCTCGCACAGTGACTGCTGGATATGGGCACCAGTGATCCCCGCGACCCCAAAAGGAAGAAGCGGTAAAGATGATGAATGGATGGATGGATGGAGCTGGTACTTCTCTCCAGCAGTCATCAGACAGCATTAGATTCAAGTGTGAACATTGAAAGTGTCCACTAAGACCACCTTCGGTTGTGGTCTGGACACCTTTTATCTGCGTATCTGGACACAATCTGTCCGGAGGTCCAACACTGGACTGACCCGACGTGACCCCACTCAAGCAGCACAGTTGTTACCTGAACGTCCCCGAATAGAGACAAGCAGCTGCTGCTGTTTTAAAGAGAAATAAATAGATCTTCTTTGAAATATTCTGAAGATAAAACATTTTGATGTTGATTGTTTTGTTTTATTTCAGCTATTAGTTTTAATGAACTCTTTCTCAGAAAAAATGTTTGATTTGTGGAGATTTCATGAATCAGAATGGATTGATTGGGTGATTGATTTGGATTAATTTGGACGTGCTGAAAGGTGCTGGGTCAATCAGAACCACAGCGTTATATTGATCGAATTAAACCCCACGTTGATATGAAGTGAAGCAGCTGAGTTGTACGTTAAAACCTCCAGTGTTTGCTCCAACACCTCACTCTGTGACATCATCACTAATCATCATTATTTTAATATATTTCTCCCACATGGGGTCTGTAAATAAAGAGATAACTCCACAAAGGCTCTGAACTGTAATAATGTAGCTCAGATTTGTGAACGTATTGTAATACTTACAGAAACAGCTGACTGTGTGAGTATCTGCATACAGAGCACATATTTGATCTGATCACAGAAAGCATTTAATAACTGAGTGTGAACATCCAGTCACAAATGTCCACTTGGACTTCATTCACCCAGGATGCTGATGCTGGTTCTACAGAGCCAAGGAAACAAAGAACCATTTATGCACACACCTGGGGACCAGTGGTGATTTTAGCCTATTTTGGGGGGGTGCTCAAGCACCCCTACATTTTAACACAGCACCCCTGAAAAATAAAGTAAAAAAAATATTGTTTATTTTTTAGGCGGTTTTGGGTTCTGCTTATTGCATTTATGATTCAATGCAACAAAACAAACAATTTAAAAGGTAACAGATCGTTGTAATACTTGGTTTATTTACATATTGACTTTAATTGCTGGATGTTCGGCCCCTGAGCTGCTGGCTGTCAGTAACTGTGGCCCCTGAGCAGTTTAGCTGAACAGCCCTGATTTAGAGGGTGAATACAGTTTATTCCATTTCCAAAACCTAAACTGAGTCTGGAAAAACGTAAAAGACGGATAAAGTCCTGCGGCCGACCTCATGAGCAGCTGAATACAACAATGATAAACAGGAAGTACCACATGTTCATCTGTATGAAGGTAACTGCAGGTAAATCCACAATGTTCTGTCATAATTAAATTGCACAGTATGCTTACTGGCTAAATTAAAGGTTAACGCTTAAAGCTATTAGTGATTTGTTTTGTGTGTTTTATATGTAGATATATGTTGTAACTTCTGGTTGCTTAAGTTTACTCTTTGTTTGTTATGATCCGTTAATACTAAACTAATTTTTTAGAAAGCGTTAGTAAGGTTGTGCAATGTAAAGTAGAGCGCTACGTCTGTAGCATCTTAGCTAGAACGTCTGTATTGCATGCTGCTAGCTTAGCGCTACTTCTTGTTGTGCCGTGCTCTCTAAAATAGTTACTGAATGAAGTGTTTACTTATCTAGGTAAACATAGATGTTAAACAACTGTTAAAACACACCAGAATGCAGGAAATGGCATCTACTTTATTCAACATGTTCTGGGGGAGGACCCCCCCCCCCCCCCAAACACACACACACACACACATTACAAATGCTTCTGACGCCAATGGCCACCACGTTGTTCAAGTCAAGAGCCATTGATAGCACTGGGGGCTGAGCACCCCTAAAGGTCAGATTCTAGAATCCGCCCTGGTGGGGACAGTTCTACGATCAAAAAAGACAAATATGTTTTTAAACCTGTAGGAGGAAACTGCTAAACCTGGGAAAAAAATCAAATAAGTACTGAGAGAATGTGAAAAATCCCACATAGAAAGGTCCCAACTGGAAGTTGAACCAAGAGCTTCTTGCTGCAAGACAGTACTGCTAAATAGATGCACCACTGCACCACTGTGCAGCTCCCCCTCCATCCTTTAAGGTAAAATAACTACATCTCAAACTACAGTGGTCCCTCACTACTTCACTGTTCGTTTTTCACGGACTCGCTCTATCGCGGTCTTTCAAAGTAAGACTGGACATGACACACTGTGGCTGATTGATGAATGAGTCGCACGATTGGCATGGAGTTCTTATTTAAAATAAATCATTTTAATCATTTAGGAAAGAATTTGTCATTTTGCTTATTCACTCGTTGAAATTTCAGGCAAATATCAAGTTTCAGAGGAAAGAGCCAAGTTTGAGACACTCCGCTGAGTCTGTGATGTTTCATAAAATTATTATGAAAGGTGTAAATACAAACAGAGAGCAGCAGTCTGTAATTAACTAAATTAAGAGGCTAAATTAAAAATGAACTACAATTAACAAAAATGCTGATGTTCTGATCAACATTTTCAGCATAATATGTGACATTTGCTTCAGATCAGTTGGGACCGAGACAAAGTGAGTACACTGCAGAGAAATAAAAAATAAAGATCAGGTTTCACCTTCAGGTAAACTGTGACCTTCCCAAATCTCTACTGCAATCACACAAACGTACTGCGCTCTGCTTCGTAGGTGAACGAGGTGCTGGTTGGTCAGTACCTGAAGAACTTTGCCCTGGGGACTCTCCTCAAACAGCAGGTGCTGCTGGTAGAGCGGCTCCAGGGTCTTACGTGCAATCTTGGTTTTCTTTTTGGCTTTACAGGTTCCATGTTCCAGCAGGTACACCTTGACATAAGGAGCTGGACAGGAGGACAAGGAAGGACGGGCATGTAAGGACACAAAAAAAAGTAAAGGAAGCATGTTTTGTCTGCAAACGGGTTACCTGGGAGGGATTTGGAGCCTGGTTTGGGGGTAAGGCCTCGGGCCCTGATCACCTCCACCTCCAGCTGTCCCCTCTTATCCATCAAACCAATCTGGACATCTCCTGGAGAGAAGTAGCACAGCAACATGGACCTCAGAATCCAGCAGTAAGGGTTCTTTTCTGCTAAGATTTATTAAAAACACAGAATAAAATATAAAAACCATCACTCACCCATGGCAGGTGTGGCCAGAGTCTGCCGGCCAACCAGCTGACCAGGACCCAGTCCATCCAGGAAGTCACTAAACTGACTGTCGGCTCCCAAACGCATCCCCGAGAAGATCAAACTGGCACATGCAAACCAAAATTCATGTAAATGTAGTTTATCTCAGCTTCATGCTGCACGTGTCATTATATCTCTAGAAGAGCAGTCATCAAAGAGAAGGAAAGCCACTCCTGACAGTTCTCAAACTTTGACACAGTTTTTTCTTAGTGGTGAAAACAAGTTTTGGAGTTCCACAGGGTTTTAATCTGGAGTTTTGTTCTCACTCAGCAAGAATAACTTCCACCTTCTTTTACTCTAATTGGATTTAAAAAAAAATATTTAAAAAAAAGTCTTGTGAAGTTCTACAGGATTTTAGTTTGGGGGTTTAATTCTGAGTCAGTAAAAATGACCCGTGAAGATCCAGCGGGTTTTATTTTGGTCTTTTAACTTTGAGAGTATGAAAGCAACTGGTGGAATTTTACTTTTTGGTTTTTATTTGAAGGTTTTATCCATCCATCCATTATCTTTACCCGTTTGTTCCATTTTGGGTCACGGGGGTCGCTGGTGCCCATGTCCAGCAATCACTGTGCGAGGGGCGGGGTACACCCTGGACGGGTCGCAAGTCCATCACAGGGACACATAGAGACAAACGAGACAAACAACCATTCACTCTCTCACTCACACCTAGGGACAATTTAGAGTTACCAATCAGCCTAACATGCATGTTTTTGGTCTGTGGGAGGAAACCGGAGCACCTGGAGAAAACCCACGCATGCACGGAGAGAACATGCAAACTCCACCCAGAAGGCCCCTGGACCGGGGTTTGAACCAGGGACCTGTTCGCTGAGAGGCAGCAGCTCTACCAGTTGCGCCACCGTGCTGCCCTGTTTGAAGGTTTTACTCTAAGTGAATAAAAACAAGCAGATTTTTCACCTAAATGAAATAAAATGACTCAAGGAGTTCATCAGGGAGTTATTTTAGGGTTTCATTCTTAGTGGGCAAACACGATTTGGGGTTTTATTTTGAGGAGGAGTTTTTATTTGTGAAGCTCCACGAGCCTTTGTTCTGACTGATCCAAAATGTTTTGTGGACAAACAGGATTTTAATCCAGATTTTAAAAAATGACTCATTTGTTTTGGTCATTTCTTCTGAGTGGACAAAACAACACATTATATTTCTTCAGGGATTCTGAGTGGATAAAGTGATTTGTGGTGTACCACAGGGCTTTATCCTGGGATTTTATTCCAAATGAAGAAGAAAATACTCCAAGTTTGATTTTGAGGTTTCGTTTGTGGAGTTGTATTCTGAGAAGACAAAGTTGATGCATGGAGTTCTGCAGCATTTTATTTTGGAGACCGCTCCATTTAAAATATTTTCTTCTCTCGCACAAAACGCAAAGCAACAAACAAGCTACAGTTGTTGCACAGACAAGCACGAATGTTGTGTAACTGTAACACTAACACATGATAATCTTGAACAAACAATATTATGTGCTTTGAAAAATAAAACAACAGCTGGAATTACCAGTAATTTCTACGTAAAATAAACACATTTTTGGATGCAAGCAAGAATGATCAGATTTACTAAATGTGCCTAACTACACCATTTGTACTGAAACAACGTCAGAAATCAGAATGTCACAGACTCAGATCTGAAGTAAAAGGGTCACCTCAGAAATGAGTATTTAGACTGCTGAGTCAGTACTACGACTGTACTGTGATTTTAGTATTAGAGAGTCAGTACTATGACTGTACTGTGATTTTAGTATTAGAGAGTCAGTACTATGACTGTACTGTGATTTTAGTTTAGAGAGTCAGTACTACAACTGTACTATATTTTTAGTATTAGATAGTCTGTACTATGACTGTACTGTGATTTTAGTTTTAGTATTAAAGAGTCAGT